GAGTGGCTGGTCGAAGCGGAGCGGTTGATTTGTCAATTAGTTCAATTTTGCTCTTGCGCCTGAGTAGTAAAATGTTGTCCTTGACTGGTTATGCTAATTAACTTCACCCTTTAGTAATAATTTTTTTCGTTGATGGACGGACGGTTTTTATCAAGCATTTATTTTATGGACTTCTGTAAGGCAAATCTCGCATACCCCCAACAAATAACTGTTTGTGTTTTCGTTTTGTGCATGTTCTTCCATATTTCCACTTGATCACATCCGAATGTACTACGGAAAAGACGACTTAGAGTGAAATACAGTAATTTTAAGGTTATTTTGTTTGGGCTTTCTTTTTCTATCCCTTCTTTGTGTAGCCCTCGTTACCTCGAGTGGCCCTGAAATAGGGCCGTGTGATAGGCGACTCTAATAAAAAAAAAATCTGAATACATCAAGTCGTCACTACATTTTCGCCTTAACTGATGATTTCAATCTGTGATGTTCACTCCAAACAGTCTTGTCCCTAGTCTTTCTCTTAGGAAATTAAAGAGTTCACTAAAAAAAGTGAAATCTTTAACTAAATCTCAGAATTAAATCTTCGATAAGGATGAGCTTATACGAGAATTTAGAACCGAATTGGGATACTGAGAACTGACCGAGCCCACTAATTGAATTCCATTTATTCGGTCACCGGTTGGTCACTTGTCAGCTGGATTCGTCATCGTGCTCATCACTGAATTAATACATCGGTAATTGACCGAGCCCTGAGTACGATGTTGCGGCAGCCGTGGAGTACTAAAAACAAGTGCGAGTATCGATCGAATGCCGTTAATCGATTCGAAGGGTTCCCGAAAATAACCCAACAACGTTTATAATTCTACTCTCTGTGTTGGTACGAATCTTTCTCATTTAGCTACAAATGTCTTTGATTATTGAGTCGACATCAATAAGTTTTCTTCAAAAGCTGCCTTTTCCACATTTCTGTTTTTTATTTTTGTTAACTACTCTCTTTTTGTACTCTTTTTATTTTGTACAAGAATTGCCTAGCGATTACATTTTGGTAAAGGATGTAAAATACTGATATTTTGAAACAGAAGCAAGAACAGGTATAAACTGTCGTTCAGAGCTACTATTAACTCAATATCTTAATTGGCCTTTCCACGATTGGGCTAAAAAAAGGGGGGGCATATCTGGCAAGTTCTCTGCCCAGTTGATTGAAATCTTACGTAATAGCCGAGGAACAACACAAATGAGCCTTTGCTATGCGCATGCACATAAAGCCTCGCTTCCAATATTGCCCGGCGATTCGTGATCACTGTACTCTCACGAGGCCTCAAAGGAGAAACCATTTTGCACGCTTAAAAAGTTTACACGTTTTCAGAGGCAGATTTTTTATATTTGAAGAGACATGTCGAAATTGTTTTAAGATACATGTATTCCTAATCTACAAGATCTTGGTCGTATATGGTGAAAACGGCGTTGAAAATAATATAGATCAAGTTAAGAAATAGCGGCCATTTACAGAAGAATTGTCAAAAATTAGTTTGTCCACGTCTATGGCAGTCGTGTAGACCTACTTACAATGATTGCGGTTCTTTATGCGTGCAGTGCCATTGTGTTGACCATATCTCGTAGACTTACGTGTGGACAAACTGGGTTTTTTTTACCATCTTTCTTCAAACCATCGCCGTTTCTTAATTTTCAGCGCCGTTTTCACCATATACCACGAAGATGCTGTGGTTTCGGAATATCTTGAAACAATTTTGACATGTCTCCCCAATTCCAAGAAATCTACATTTGAAAAAGTGTAAACGTTTTTTTTTTGGACCACACTGTACAAAGCAAATGCCCTGTGACCGATTGTCTGAACAATAGCTAGCATAATGCTTTCACCATTGAAGGGGGCCTTCGTCATAGAATTCTCATTGTGCTAAGATTTGTCTATACTTCCAAAGAGCCAGTTGCACTAGCCCAGCGTGAGAAATAATTTGTCACAATAATTATCGGTGTTTTTCCCCCTCCGAATTCCCAAATCGAGTCTAGGCTACATCAAGGAGCAAGCCCGACCAGTCCCGGTGTACGGCATAACCAAATCAGACAGATGAATAAAGACAGGCTCGAGATCGATAATCAAGACAGGTGGCTGCCATGGACGTAATCAGCCGGATAATACAGAAACATTCCATTCCTTCGTTCCCAAAGTACAGGATTTAAGGGGGGAAAACTTCTCTCTGAGGATCAGAGATGCAACAACATTAGCAACATCTCATGCATATATAAGGCGGTTCCATGGCGCCAGAATAGCTGAAAATATTCTTCTTTTTCAGATTTAGTCTTCTGTTTCGTTGATTTGCTTTCCCCCTTGTTTTCAAGACGATTCATTATCCAGTGACGCCACATTGTAAACAATCATAAAATCAGTGTTGTACATCTCAGCAATTTACAATTTTGTTTTCGAGAAGTTTCGTAAATCATCGTGAGCACTGTTTGCACTAATGCTGTTTACATCCCTTAAGCAATGCTTCGGTTATTTTTGCTACATGTACAAGCAAAAAAGAAAGAATTTAATTCATGATGCAACATCAACAGATGCGTTACAAAGATGTACAAGAACTGGAAAAAACCTCAGTGAGAAGAAAGTATTTGTTTATTGACTTCTGCAAACTTTCTACTTTCCAAAGAGTGCACTGTAAAACTTGTGGTATAAAGTGCACACCTGTAGTCTTAAATCGATATAGATATCATCGATGTTTCATAACACATCTCTGTTGGTTTTTTTTTTTCAGTGTGAAACTAGGGACCAGATTTCATTAATATTACATAATTTCAGATCAAAATATTTTGAAAAATTATCACTCCAATGCAAACTCGAATGAAAACATCATCTATTCGACTAAATACAACCCATTCTCAATCGTCTTGTCCCTATCGTTTCAGTCAATTGAGTGCATTTTTTTTTACTCTTTAGGCATTAGGCTACAGAGATATGAACTTTGCAACACCAACACGGAAAATAAGCCTAAAATATGCACAATAATTGTGCAAAGGGATTCGCTCTGAGCAAGACACCCACTTCTTTGGGGTCAATTGTCACCAAACAGGGAATTACCAATTTAATCGGACGGTTGTTTTGCTGGTTTTGTTTATTCACAGCTGCTTCAGGACAGGGGCACCAACGGCACAGCAAATTCTGTACCCAATTCCGTAATCTCCCCTGAAGCAAACCGCTTGACCCTCCGGCTCCTGCCTCGTCCATGGGTGCAATAACCCATAAGAAACCGTGGCGGCTTCGTCAACTTATAATAAAATTTATAATTAGGCCGCGCGGACTAATTCAACCACCTTCAAGCATAATTTCTCTCACTGTCTTGTGCAATATGAAGATGCAATTTTTGTCAAAAGATGAAATATGTACGCGTATCACATCGGAGGTTTCCAAAATGCTGGAAACTTCACGACGACAAAAGAATCTAGTTATACGTGTGCGTGTTTATGGTGTAAATCGAGGACACACGCGTGCAACATCAGCGATGAATTGAGGACAGGAACCAAATCGAGGACAACCTCGATTAGAAAACGTGTACAAAACCAATGAGAGCTGTTGCAAAAAAGTTAGAGTATAAACAAGGGAAAAGGGAAGAGGAACAACAGAAAATCCTCGATTTACACCATAAACAAACCTGTGTGTGCGTGTACCTGTCTGTTTTGTAAACATTCTGGCGAAATTCACATTCCCAAAACAGGTTTGGTAAAGAATTAAGGTTTATACCATAGACAGCATTTCATTTTGCTTATTCAATTAAGTGACTGCCTTGTATGAGTACATAGAATCGATTTTTTTTTGCCAGCACACGAGCAAAAGAGTTATAGCCTACACGTCAACAGTAGAGTCTTGCAGTATACCTGATAATACAATCGTCCACGCTCCTTGCCTGCCATACAACCTCATCTTTAAGACGTAGAATAAATCTTGACGCGGTGATGCCTCGTGCTAGAGACTTACCCCCTCGGGCGATGAAAGCGGTCTTAACATCCGTACAACCCGCCACTACAACGCCACTCTAACACCATAAGTGCCGCATCAAGTGCTTCCCCTTCCAGGCGCAATTCCCAATATTTTTTTTTCAGACTTGACCTAAAATGCTCTGGTATGTTTTGTTTGGGTTTTTTTCCTGTGAGGATCCTCTTTTGCCTGGAGGAAGCTCAGGGATCTTTGATGGTTTGATGTAAAGGGACGAGCCGCATCGCTAGCTACTGAAAGAACGCACATTGATTGATAAAAATTGTAGATTAGGCGATCATTGATTCGCCATGCATGTTCTCAGATCTGGAGTGTGATTCCCATTCCAAAACAGTGATCATGTCTTTCAATTGATAAAAAGTGCAAAACACCTTCGTGAAGGAAAGCAGTATTCTTTTCTTCATTATTGTACGAGTTGTCCTCTTTGTTATATATTATGTACAATGTATTTGATTTTCAATCGCTACCTGGACCACGTACAACAGCTTGAGTGTGACACTATAGTGGATGCGACTCATGGTTTCCATAAGGATGCTATAGGCGTTGGCCACAATTTGCTTTAATCAATATGTAGACTCCGTGTCGTTATGTAGACCTTATTGAGGAAGGTGTAAATTTTGGTCACAATTTGTTCTCTCAATGAGGACCTCATTTAACAGTTGAAGCCTGTGCACGTGCCTTCAATTTCAAAACAAAAACACAGTGTTGCCTCAACCCCGCATAAAACAGTTCTTATAGCAAATTAGTCAAAAACTCAAATGCAATTAATGTAATCCGATGCAGGTCAAAAACAATGTAAATCGCATGATAATGGTGCTTTTGGCTGGTGACCTTCTGTTGCAAAGCAATTTTTAGTTGACTCTGTGTTATATTAGCATTTAGCAGTAGCCCAGACGTCCTTTAATGACGGAGTACATTATAACGGGCTATGCTAGCACCTGCATGGAATTGTTCACTTGTATTAACGCGCATCCGTCTTTTCCTTTCTCTCTTTGTGCAGGGCATGTTCTTAGTGGCGTTACCCTATGCAGTCCTACACGGTGGCTATTGGGGCCTCCTAGCACTCATATCCGCAGCAATTGTCACCTGCTACACCGGCAAGATCCTGGTCGAGTGCCTCTACGTCACTGATGACGTCACCGGTCTGCGCATGCGCGTGCGCGAATCCTACGTGGACATTGCCAAGGAGGTGTGGGGGGACCGCTTCGCCGCGCAGATCGTGCACTCGGCGCAATTCATCGAGTTGATCATGACGTGTATATTGTACCTGGTGCTGTGCGGCGACCTGCTCAGCAATAGTTTCCCTACCAACAAGCTGGACGAGACCACGTGGACCATGCTGGCTACTTTCTTCGTAGTGCCCTGCGCCTTCCTGCGAGACCTCAAGGCCGTGTCGCGACTAAGCTTCGGTAACGCCATCGTCCACGTCATCGTCAACCTGATTCTGATTGGCTTCTGCCTGAGCTACGCCGCGCACTGGCACTGGGGTGACGTCGCCGTCCACGTGGACATCCACTACTTCCCAGTCTCCATGGGGATCGTCATCTTCAGCTACACCTCCCACATCTTCTTGCCCAGTCTAGAAGGAGGCATGGTGGAGCGCTCCAAGTTCAACAAGATGCTGTACTGGACCCACGCTCTAGCCGGTCTCTTCAAGGCCCTCTTCGCTTACCTGTGTTTCCTGACCTTTGGCCCCGGCACACGTGACATCATCACAGATAACCTGCCCACTCAAGGCTTCCGTGCTGTTGTCAACGTTGTGCTGGTTATCAAAGCCCTGCTGTCCTACCCTTTGCCATTCTATGCCGCCATTGAGCTCCTCGAGAGGGCCTTCTTCAGCGGCCGCCCCAGAACCTTCTTCCCCTCCTGCTACGCCCTGGACGGGTACCTCAACTCCTGGTCCGTGGCTCTGCGCACCCTCGTGGTCATCTTCACCATGCTCCTAGCAATCTTCATACCCCACTTCAACCTGTTGATGGGGCTGATCGGTAGCTTTACCGGCACCATGCTGTCCTTCGTCTGGCCCTGCTGGTTCCATCTTAAGATCAAGTGGCACGAGATTCCTTGGTACCAGAAACTCTTAAATATATTTATAATTCTGAGCGGTATGATCGTCGGTCTAATCGGAATCATCTACTCGATGGAGGCACTTATAAAAATATACCACGAAGAGCAATAATTAGTATTCATTTCTCAAAGTAGTAATTTTATGATTTGATGTATATTAAACGCAAGAATGAATAAATTATGACTTCATATGCAAATTTATTCCAAAGGAAGAATTTTCATTCCCCGGGAAAGATAATCGGATTGTCTGCAGATAAATCCTTGAGCAAAAGGCTTCGTAAAAAGTTTGCATTGGAGAGTATACGTATATGGGTTGACAATTTTGAGTCACCATATCTGTGATGTAAACTTTAAGCGTTTTTTTAATGGTTGAGTGTCTTTAATCTCAAAACAAAACAAAAGTTACAGAAAAAAGCAAACCAATTAATTGAAAATTGAAACATTAGAATTAAACACCTCAGCCCATGCCCCTAATTCAGGTAAAAAATAACGGCCGGCTGCAATCCCTTTGTGTGTCCAAATCGTCATATTTGCATAAACTCATTATAAGTCCAGGTTCGCACACTTGATCTTAACGAATTAAGTGAAGAGGTTAGAATTTGGGGCTAACAGGGTGAGTAAAAAAAATTTAAAAAGCCCAAATTGCAGGACCGATTTTTCATAAAGTTTTGGCTGTAGCACTTTTAAAATCTATGATATGAAAGCCCAGTCATTCGGCTTTCGTTTAGTACAAGAATCATTCAAATCACTCATGTACTTTTCAAGTTACGGAATTTTGAACACAAACACCGCTATAAAGTTCTGTCCACGGATCACAAAAAATGTAAGTGTTCTTTCAGCAAAACGAAAACAATTCTCATAAGGTTGCATATGAATTGTTTTTTTCTTATTCACCCTGTCGCCAGACGGCGAGTTAATCAAATGCATTTGGCCTTCGGTTTCAAAACTGTTAATGAATAATTGTAAAATATGCCATGCAACGTGAGGCGATTTCAACCCTCCTAAAGAAGAATGTTATCTGGTTCGTTTTAGCGTTATGTTGTAGAGTTTCTACTGCAAGTAGTATGACTGTACATGTAGTAGGTATATATTCAAGCACTGCAGATATATCAGAAACGGGCAGTTGATAGTAAATTGATAAAAAAAAATACAGCGTGTAGTGTTTATTTTAGCTAATAATGATACGAAGTGTATCCATTATAAAACACATGCACTCTAAAGAAGTTTCGGGGTAGAATTGACCCGGAATCCGGGTCATATTCGACCTGACACTTTCCCGGGTCAAAATGGCACTTTTCCGGGTCAAAATGGCACTTTTCTTGATCATTTTCTGGGTCTGTTTGACCCGGAAAAAAGTGCCTTTTGGACCCCAAAAAGTGTCAGGTCGAATATGACCAGGATTCCAGGTCTAATCTTACACGGGACTTTTTAGAGCGTGTTTAGTTAAAGATGATAATATAATGTATGCGAAACAGATTTCGCTAAGTTTCCCTCTTTTGTTTACAGGAAAAAAAAGGTGCTAAGAAAAGCTTGATTTTTATTTCAATAGTCGCACAGTGGCTATTACAAAATGTTTTAAATAAAGCCTCTAACATAAGTAACGGAGTATATATTGAGTGTTTTACAGCTTAAGTTTTTATTGTGACATGTTTGAAATCAAACTAAGTAAAACAACTAATCGTGACAGTATGTCGTGTTAATATATAATTGTTTTGTTAATTGTGTGATTTAGTGTCAGTTATTCACCAGAACCCGTGTAATACATTAACCAAATCCCTCAAGTTTAATGGACCGATCCAGTAAGCACCGCCCCATGGTGCTCTGACCAATCACAGCCGTGATTTATGTCCGACGTGCGTGCACAAAAGTCCGACATGCGTGCACGCGCGTATGATGCGCGCGGCAGGAAAATGCAGTGTGGCATTGGATCGAGAGGAGCACGTGTTAATTTGCCAAATGCACAGTGGGCGGGGCTTACTGGATCGGTCCATTCCATTCCACATTCATTTTTCTTCTCCGCGTGTAAACTTAGCACCAGGACGACGAACTTTTATTTATTTGTTTTCAAGTTAAGAATGGAAATTAAAGTAGCAAAACTAATGTCGGCTGTTTGCGTTGGTTTTTGTTTCACATTCGTCTAATATATTAATAAAAGTTGTATCAGTCGAAAGGAAACATGTCGAAGTATAATTGTTTGACGTTACTTCTGGATTTGTATACACCATAATGTAATACTGTACATGTTCCCGTGAAGGATAAGGAAGTACATTCTGATTTTTGAAACAATACTTTTCTGGAAAAACAATTCTTGGTTGCATCGCTTGACGGAGAAACACCGGTACAATTTTCACATTTAGATAAATTGACATTTCGGTAGAAAATAGTCCTTCTTTTTTAAATCAGATTTGGGAAAAGCCCAAATTTTGACAATAATCATCAATGTAAACCATTTCAATATTGCTAACTTTGATAGATCAGGTATTAGTTATATATTTTGCATTAAACATTCAGTTCACTTCAGACGTTAGAATCAATAATCATGTCAATCAGTTTGGCATTGGGAAAATCCATAGCTATCATCCCCCATTTTGCCTTACTATCGCCCAGGTAACCAGCCAACATTTTGTTCAGCCGTTCAGAAACATCGTCAGGCCATGCGAAGACACCGGCCCCACTACTGTAAGTCAGGTACATCGTGCCGGTAGGTCCCAGTTGGGCTTTTTCAAGATGGCCGCGCACGGCATTCCACTTCTTCTGGATCTCCTCCTTGGACAGATCTTCAATTTGCCATTGGTCTTCGATATCCATATCACCGTAGGGAAGGCCGAAGGTAGCTGGACCGCCGTAATCTCTTAAGACGACCAGCTTACCTCTGGCTTCACTCATGGGAGGGTATCCTTTCCCTTTGTAGAGTGCCCCGATTGGGTAGCGATCTACATAGATCTGGACAGCCTGAGCGAAGGTCTTGGTGTTGTTTTCCGGTGTGTACTCTTCTGAAACGCGCATGAAGACAGCTTCTTTGGGATGTGCGGCCAGAAACTCAGTCGTGGCCTTCAGGACATCGTCAAAAGTCGCCCTCTGGGGCACTGGGCCGTGAAAGATCAGCAACTCGTCGTTGAGGTGTCGACAGCGGATGTCGACAAAGCGGATCCCGTTGTCGAACTGCTGGGTGAGCGATGTGTTCTGACACTGTGTGGTCTCCCCTCCGTATCGACTCATCGACTCGTGGGTGCCCGGCATCGATATGTTTGTCGTCGAATACTTGTCGGGTATTCGGAACATCCAATCTTTAGTGTTCAATGCTGTGGCAACGTTGATCATTGCAAGCCAAATGAATAGAAACATCTTCTGCATTGTTACTTCTGTACGGGTAACAACAAATCAATAAACAAAATAAATGATGCGGACGTTCTACATCTTCCACACAATAATACAGGTCCTGCTCTAGCTTAAATTATGATATCTTCAGAAAAAAACACCTCAGTCACGAGTTGTGATCGTTCCATTACATTTATTTTTAGCTCAGTTGTGTCGTACCACACACAGCGTATTTAGCTTTTGCATCCACTTGACCTTTTCACGGGAACGGTGAAAGATCAGCCATTTTGGACGGTTATAATTATTTGCTCATTATTTGGACGGAATTTTTCCAAATAACCAAAAAAAAAATTGAACAGAAAATAAAAGTGCGAATATCGTCTATTGATTGTTCGTATCTCAAACTCCTCGGTGAGCTGTGAGTATTTTTCCTGAATTTCGGAAGAGGGCGTATTCATCACTGGGGTCTATGGCAGTTTATTTACTTTACCTTTAACGTGACGGCGTCGTCCATTCACTGCAGGATGTAGCCCTCTGTCAGACCTCTCCAGGTTGTTCTTCCCTTTGCTGTCCTTGTTCAGTTTAGTTTATTTACTAGTCTGCAACTGTATAGACGTCCAATATGGCGGGCGTGTGGGTGACCACGTTGCGTGAAATTCCTCAACGCAAGTTGTCAACAAACGTTTAGGTCAGCGTGAATCCATGTGAACAATGTGAACTAAGTCTTCTAGTTTCACACCGATCATATGTCAAGGATATGTTTCGCGGTAGGAGCTATACTCATTGTACAGATTTAATTGTATACAATAACTGATGAGGAAGTACATTTCCCCCACAGTAACATAGGCCCTACTCTATAGCACAAAACCCGGATACCTTTAAAAAGCACATCACTGTCACGAGTTGTGATCATTCCATTAAGTATTTATTTTTAGCTCAGTTTTGCCGTACCACACACAGCGACAACAAACTTTTAGGTCAGCGTGAGTCCAAAGTCAACACCGTGAACTTCTACAGTTTCACACCGATCATAACGCCATGGTACGATCACCATCATGGTATAGAGCTTACACATTGTACTGATTTAGTGAACTAAATTTGTTAACTTCTCCAACAAGGTTCATGCACGGACGATTTTAAATACAAATGTATTTTCATCGCTTGAGTTGACACCGGGGACACTTGCTTTGTTCACCGGTTCCATTGGGAATGCATGGAGGTCTTTTGAATTGAACGTACACGAAGCGAGCCCTAACAACCGTAGTGTCATAATAACACTTTGTATACTGTTCCTTGCTCTATGGTATAGCATACTAATTCAAAAATACTGTAGTGTTATACTTGAAATACTGGACTTTAATTTTTTTTAGAAGTAGGCCTACATGCAGAAAAAACGAAAGTTCATCATGTGGAAAGGGGTCCCTATAAAGGATCCTTAAAATGCTTTGAGAGTATCTCTATACGTTTGAGTTGATGATTTTGTCGATTAGTGCAGCATCCGGGAAATCCATAGCAACCATCCCCCATCTCGCTTTTCTGCTCAAGAAGTCACTCAAATACCTATTAATCCTCTCCGCGATGGCCTCGGGAAAGGCGAAGGCACTGGCCCCGCTACTGTAGGTCAGATACAGGACAGTGTCGATCGGTCCTTGCGAAGCTGTCTCAAGTTGGTCGCGCGTGGCATTCCATTTTCTGCCGATGTCTTCCGGAAAAAGGCTCGGTACTTGCCAGAGGTCTTCCACATCGAGATCGGCGTACGGCAATCCGAAGTCAGCAGGGCCGTCATAGTCACGAAGGATGACCAACTTGCCTCTGACGTCTTTCATGGTAGGGTAACTCTCCCCTCGATAGACCGACTCCCTAGGGTAATGTTCGACATACCCCTGGACAGTTTGGGCAAATGTCTGAGTGTTGTCTTTGGGCTTGTATTCCTCCTTGAGGCGCATCAGGATCACCTCCGTTGGGTGAAGGTCTAAGAACTCCGTTGTGGACTTTAACACCTCGCTGAAGTTTGCCTGCTGCGGAACCTCGTCGTGAAAGATGGGCAACTCGTCGTTGTAATGCCGACAGCGGATGTCGACAAAGCGAATCCCGGCGTCATACTGTTGGCTTAAGCTCATCGTTTGGCACTGTTTAGGAGGCCCACCGTACAGGCTCATCGTCTCATGAGTGCCTGGTATAGAAAGATTAGTTAGTGAATAGTCGTCAGGTATTCCCGACATCCAGTCTTTCGTACTGCTCACGTCTGAATTCGACATGGTGATCTCCTTGTCTGTTTAGTCGCTGAGGCAAATTGCCAATAGGGGCCTAATTGCAGTGGAACAGATGAATGCGTTTAAGAGATCATAAAACAGTTCCATTACTTTGGTACTGGTACACAAATTGCACGTAAAAATCGCCACTGGAGTTTGAAATGATCAAAGATCGAAAAAGCTTTTTACGGTTCAAGGTTTGTATATTTATAGGGTGACCCTTATCAACCCTACACGCGAGAGGGCGCTATACCAGTTAAACGATCGAGCACAATCAGTCCATTGCCTCATTTTAACAGTGTCTTTTCATGTATTATAATTTTCTAAACAAAAAATCATTCACAAAGTAGGTCTTATGCTAGTAAATAAAAAAATGCCAAAAAAATCTCTACATAAAAATATTTTATGAAAAGAAAAAGTAAGACATTTACATGAAGTAAAAGAAACTAAGCAATACCCCCAACATTAAAAAAATCAACAACAAACAAGAACGAGTGCTTAGTAAGCCCTGGCGAAAAATGCGACGCCGATGGAGCACCATACTTTTGGTCAATTTTGGGGACATTTAGTCCTTCTTGATACCGTCCAACCACTATACGAAATACCATGTGACTATAACATTACTGCACAATTACACATTTTGCCTCCATTTACACACTTTTCATAAACATTTTTCCGAATTGTTACAAATAATTGTTGTTTAGTATTAAATTTATTGTGAACATTTCAATTTGGTAGTTACATTTTATGGGCAACTTAGGGGGTTTATTTTGGGGACAGACATAAATTGTAAAATAGACGCGCATGCGTATCGATCGAAACAAAGCTGATGTTCCATCAGCTTCCGGTGTAGCATGAATTTAGGTTTAATGAAATACGGACTCATTGGTGGTATTGCGCATGCTCATGCATAGATAATTAGGAGAGGGACCGGTCACGTGAGAGGGTTCAACCAATAAAAGGGAAAAGAGTCCGATTTCCATACGAGTCCGATTTTCATGTGACACTGGTAAGAAAGAGTGCATTAATGACCATATCATGGCATTTGGTCACTCAGTCAATTATTTTTGGTCAAATCCTTTTTTTCCCTTCAATTTTCGGGGACAGACACACAGACAGACCAACCGACCTAGCGACCGACCGACCATAAAGTGTAGCGTAGAAGCTCCTGTGTCAGAGTTGAAAAGGTGGAACCCCCCCCCCCCATAAAAAAAACAAAAACTAAAAACAAACGCAGAAACAAATCAAAATTCAAAAACAAAACAAAAACAAAGCAACAAAAAGAAAAAAAGTAGAGGAAAAATTAATGTTAAAACGCGTCAGGGAAAGAAAAGCAAAACACAAACAACTGTTTGTACAAAATGAACGAATGAAACTCTGCAAAGAAAAAACAAAGTGATTTTCGCTGAGGATATGGTAACGGTAAGGAAAATATCGTCATGGCGAGAGTCAACATATTCAGGAATGAAGATTACAAAATACAATAACTGACGTTTGTTGATATTGCATGCATCAGGAGTGTTGTTACGAGAAGGCAATATCTTTAAGTCCTCTGTGTATTGAAATCTTTTTTTTTTGGTTGGTGGTAATACTTTTCAGTGTTGTTTGTATTTATGTAAAGGCATGCCCCTTTAAGCTACCGCTTCTCGTCATTATGCTTCCATTACTCCGTTGCCATGGTTTATCACATTGCTTCTGGAGGGAAATAAATGTTGGAAACGAAATTAATTACACAAGTTCCAGTTTTTGTAAAAGGCTGTAGCATACTGGCCTTGTTGCAATTCGACTCTTCAACCTGACACCTTTATACCTACAAAGGAACCACCTTCACATTAACCAGTAGCTTGATACACCGCAACTATAATTGTTTTGTTGTAGTAGCTTAAACTGGGATTACAATGTAAACTTTTTAATATTTTTTTGGGCTTTTTTTTTTAATATTTTTTTTGTGAATTTTCTTATTATATTTTTTTTGGGTGTGTTTTATTTTTTATATTTTTTTAAAATACTTTTGTCAGGGGTGGGACTGGGATTCGAACCACTTGCCCCTTCAGGTGCAAGGCGAACCGAATAACCGTTAGGCCACCAGGCTACAGCCTAAGCATTCCTGAACATTAAAATCATTTTAAATATTCATAAAAAACACTTGTCGAGGGACACGCACTAGGTTATGCAGTACAAACAAGACCATCATCAATTCATATGTGACGACAAAATTAGATTGTCACTTACTCAGAACAATAGTTTTGGGAGACATTTTGTGTGACTGTGATGTCGCAATGTGTCGGGTTTTGGCGCGGTATGAGTTATTCACATGCACACGTGACAAACCGACCATTTCTCAAACAGGGAAACTCCCCAACTTCCATAAACCCATAGTACGCAATGCAAACTCAATCAAAATACACACAATATTACACTATGAAACGGACTGTTGCAGTCGTTACAATAAATGCATGCCCAATATGATTGTGAGGTCTTTTTAGAGAATGTGCATGTACGTTATTATTGTCGGCAAGTGCACGTGGTTGACCTGTAAAAATAATATTCTTTTCATTGTGCGATATCGAGAAGCACAGCAAAGCATGTCTAAAGTTCAGCCATCAAATAGTATACAAATATTGAGTGGCTCAGAGTGAAATGGGAGGAATATTATCGCAAGGTAAAATCTGGACCTTTCCATTTCACGAGGCGAAGCCGAGTGAACTGGAAAAGTCCAGATTGTACTGAAAAATACAGTTTACAGATTTTACTGAGAAATACATTTTTGTATTGAAAAAAAAAGAAGTTCAAATACATGTATATCAAATGACAAGGATCTGTATGTCAGTTTTATAAAACAAATATTGAGTGGCTTTAAATTCTGAAATGGGAGGAATATTATCGCTCGGTAAAATGTGGACTTTTCTAGTTCACTCGGCTTCGCCTCGTGAAATAGAAAAGTCCAGATTTTACCTTAAGAGGCATCGTTGGAAAGGCATTTTTTTCATTGTTTTCTTCGAAATGACAGCAGGCCAGCAAGAATAATTTCACAGGGAGTTTAGTCTCATTAATATTCTCTTTAAAACAAGTATTTGTTTCTTGAGAGCGCTCTGCATGAGCTGCCATTTTATTTTGTTGGTGGAGAAAATCTCCTTTTAAATCCTATTTTATCTCCGTTACTTTCTATTTTGTTGTGATTTACCTTTTCAATGTATCTTTCACACGGTGTAATTCTCTGTAATTTCAATATACATGTATAACGATTTTTAACGTGCGTAAATTAAACTGCAATTTGGCCTTTTGGCCGTGAAAGTTTAATGAAATAAACCATTAACAATAATAATAAAAAAAGTATGTTTTTCAACAATAATTACGTCAGTTACTTTTTGGACAGCTGCAAATGATGGACTGTACCTTTAATTAAATTCACTGGATTCAACTATGAAAAAAACACCAGATTTATGCAGTACAAATGGTTTTAATGAGGTTGATTGGCCGGTTTTAAACACTCTGTTTAAGACCGGTTGGATTCTGGATCCTGATAATTACCCGAGCCGAAGTTATTCGCAAAAGTATTGCGTTATTTCGCAAATACACACAAACTGTTGAAAAACTACAATAACTGACGATTGTTGATATGGCATGCATCAGGAATGTTGCTATGAGATGGTGTTGTTTCAATTTCAGTCTGTCTTGAATTCTCTTTTTTTGGTTGGTAGTAATAATTGTCAGTGTTGTTTGCATGTACGCAGGCCTATAGGCATGCCCCTATGCTTATCATTAAGTCGCAATAACTCCGTTGTCATGGTTTATTACTTTGCTGTGAGATTGATTACACCATTTCCAGTTGTAAAAGGCTGCAGCTCACTGACCTTGTTGCTATTCGACTCTTCAACCTTACACCTTTATACCTACAAAGGAACCCCTTTTTTTAATTAATTTTTTTATGTACAGCACCCATTTTGTATATGTTAATACCAATTATAGTAATAGCAGCTTCACTACGCTGGGATTTTAATGTAAATTTGAATATTTTTTTTGTGCTTTTCCTTTTTTTTTTTTTTTTTGGATAATTTTGTCAGGGGTGGGACGGGGATTCGAACCTCCCGCCCCTTCAGGTGCAAGGCGAACCGAGTAACCGTTAGGCCACCAGGCTACAGCCTAAGCAATCATGGAAATATAGACCATATAAAATATTCACAAAAACCACCTGTCAAGAGACATGCACCAAGTTGAGCAGTAGATGGAGAAAACAATACATTCATACATGACGACAAAAACAGATTGTATTCAATTCAGAAAAACAGGTTTTTGGAAACATTTTCGTGACATTGATGTCGCAATTTATCGGGTTTTGGCGCAGTATGAGTCATTCCCACGTGACAAACCGACCTTTGCTCAAACAGGGAATGCCCGAACTTCCGTGCAACCCAGAAAATCGCACGCAATGCAAACTTAATGTTTATACATGCAAATAATACATTATGACACGGTCTGTTGCCGTTGTTACAATAAACGAATGGCGAACAATGTTTGCGAACTCTTTTAGAGAATGTGCATAACAAAATTATGGTATTGTTGTCGGCTAGTGGTTGACCTGTGTAATGTCAATAATAATCTTTTCATTGTGTAATATCGACAGGCAAAGAAAGCATGTCTAATGTTCAGCCATCAAATAAAAAAAAATCACAGACACCAACAGAATTGATATTGTACGTTATTAAAACAAACAAATACAGAAAAGGATAGAAATAGTAAGCCTACTTATCAACTGGGCCAAATTCACGGCGCTGCTTATCAGTTAGCAGAATAGTTGTGCTTAGCATAGCAGAAAAAAAAAAACAATTGCTAACCTAAAGCACTATTTCACGGCGCGGATGTGCTAACGGTCGTGCGCACATAATTATAGATTTCTATTGGCACTAAGTTAAAGCCAGAGTCCATCATTTGCAGCTATCCAAAAAAGTAACTGAGGTCATTATTGTTGAAAAGCATACTTGGTTGAAAGAAAGTAAGGGGACTAAACTCCCTGTGCAATTATTCTCTCTGGCAAGCTGTCATTTCGAACAAATCAACAAAAGAAGGCCTTTCCAACGGTGCTTCTTAAGAAGCACCGTTGCGTAGAGCGTTATT